CACCGAAATGCCCGGCCTGTGCATTTGGACACCGAAATGCCCGGCCTGTGCATTTGGACACCGAAATGCACGGCCTGTGCATTTGGACACCGACATGCACGGCCTGTGCATTTGGACACCGACATGCACGGCCTGTGCATTTGGACACCGACATGCACGGCCTGTGCATTTGGACACCGGAATGCACGGCCTGTGCATTTGGACACCGAAATGTACGGCCTGTGCATTTGGACACCGAAATGTACGGCCTGTGCATTTGGACACCGAAATGCCTGACCTGAGCATTTGGACACCGAAATGCCCGGCCTGTGCATTTCCCTAGTAAAAATTTTTATTAGAAACAGTCAGAAATAGATAGAACTTGTATACGACATCTAACAGCTTCTAACGGAATGCTGTCCGATCTAACTGCAAGCTTCATGAGAAGATTCAATTCCTATCCGTTTCTATAAGCAGCACTGTTGTATCTGCAAATGCAGACAGAAAATGTAACAGCGTATATCTTCATCTAATGGAAATCTATCGGCATATCAGTATCCATAAGCTTTTGAAATAGAAAATCCTGTCCGTTTCTGTCCGCATCTTGTACACATCGGATGCTGACGGTATCTATCCGCAATTGAGGATACCATATCTATCTGCGTCTGTATGCAAATGTCGACCTGTAGTAATCTGGCTGCAATTACGGAGACAAGTCCTGAAAGTTTCTGTTCACATCTCGTACGCATCGGATGATGACGGTATGTATCCGCAATTGCGGATACCGTATCCATCTGCGTCTGTATGCAAATGTCGAGCTCTAGGAATCGGTTTGCAATTATTGATACGATTCGTATCGGCTTCTGTCCGCATCCTGTACTTACTCGTTGCATTCGATACGTAATTGCTGATAGAAAATCGCATTGCCTCTGTACGTATTGAATTTGTCTAAAATTACAAATACCAAGTGAAACTGTACCCAGTTAAATTAAAGGTTAATCAGCACTATATATTTTCAAAACTATATTTTATTTTTGATAATGTGGTAATTTTTAAGAATAAATAAAACATTTTTGTATAATTTTTATATTCATATATAATATAGACAATGTGCGTTCAGGGATAACTCAGATGTGAATCACGAGACGCGGTAGTGTCTCGCGCCAAGTATAAGCGAGCTAGAACCACGCGCGCGACACCGCCGTGTAAGTTTACGCGAGTACGCGAATTGACGGGCCCTCAGATTTTCGGTTCTCAACAACGGCTGATCCGACGAACTTCTAATTGCACTCAATCGATAGATTGGGTTCGACTGCTTCTTTCGTAAGAAACTGATAGAATATGTGTACGCATTTGTAGTTAGAAACGGATAGAGCGGGTAAATCACAATCGTGCAAATGCAGATAGATATTCTATCTGGTTCTTCCGTAAGAAACTGATAGGTTACGTATACGCATTTGCAGTAAGCAACGGAAAGAACGGACGTCACCGTTACGAACAAATGCAGGTAGATATATCCTGTCTGGTTCCGCAGTTAGATGCGGATAGATATTCAAAATTGACAGCGTATAGAAACGGATAGAATTCGTAATTATGTCTGCACATAGATTCGAATAAGTTCCATTCCATTAGAAATCACTTAGATGCAGTTAGCTTTTCCCTACCGTTTATGCGTACACAATCTTATACGTGGTCGGTCTAAAAAGTTCGGTGAATGGTTATATATCTTGGTATTCAACGGTTGAACGAAGTCGCGA